CCCCCCCCGGCTTCGGTCCCTCTTCGCTTCATGCCTCCCGGGCGGAAGGACACACTGGTCTTCCACCGATCGGCTTGGAAGTCGTACTCCACGATCTTCAGGGCAAGAAGACTTGAAATGTTCATTGATTCTGAGTTCTGATCATGCTTCATCTCTACTCATCTCTACACTTGGCGTCTTTATGTTCTTTTTCAAAGCAATCTCTACCCATTCTTTTCAAAGCGTCCGGTTTGGTGGACCTTCTCGGGGTGCAAAGAAGCAGCGCTGCTCTTAGACCTCCAGCTACGGGAGCGCGAGCGCATCGCACCACCGCTGGCCATGGAGATGAGCAAGCCCAACCTGCACATGTCCAAATGAAGGAAACAAAGGAAAGGGAAAACCAAAAAGGCCTAAAGAAAAAGGAAAGAAACCGGAAACCGAAATGTAGTGACGTTACGTGGCCTTTAAAGAAAGAATGTTGACCCTTCAGAATCTTTGCTATTCTGACCACTTTGCACAAGGGGCCTGAAGAACACTTCCATGTGGTTCACCTGGCGCACATCTCACCGTCCTCACCGTCCTCACCCAAACGCAGCGTTTTTCAGCACAGTTGTGACATCGAAGTGTTCACAGGGCACTTTGTGCTTTGTGCTTCCACCTCGTGGCGCTGGGTGACCATCAAGGCGAAGACCCAGAGAAGACCACTGGTTGCCACATCCTCGGCTAAAAGGCCACTGCAAGTTCTTTGAGACCTACTAGCTTCTTGTTACTAGTATGGCCAGGAGCCCCTAGTAGCGTCCTTGCTACTCGTAGCGATGCCCTTCGCTACTACTAGCTTCTTGTTACTAGTAGGAATGGCCTCCAACCTACTTGCGATGGGCTCTACCTAATAGCGTCCTTGCTACTATGGGCAAGAAGGAAAGGACTAGTTTTTCAGGGTTTGTCCTTGGTTTACTGGTAGAGGCCTCTTGTGCGAAGCAAGAGATCCAAACGTCCACGTTTATTCCCTTTTTTCAATTTCTCAGCTTCCGCCATGACACCAGGCTGTTCAATGGCCTTGCTGCCAATACCAGAAGAAGCAGACGCAAAAGCGGAAGAAGCAAACAAGCAGCGACAACCAAAAAGCTGAAGAGAAGCCTGCGTGCGGCCCAAGTGTCATGAGGGAAAAGCGTATACGGCTCCTTGGCTCAACGGAGCAAATGCTTTTCCGATGTTGAGCAAGAGCAAACGTGGGTGACGCGATTGAAGGTATCGGAACAGGGCTTGATTTTTGTAAAGCCCGCTCCCGCTCCTCCCTACTTGATTCAGTAGGCGCCTACTTAATTAAGTAAGGGAGAGGTAGCTAGTAGTAGCTAGGTAGCTAGTAGTAGCTAGGTAGCTACTAGCATGGACGCAGGATAGCTCGCACTGATGATTTGCTTCCCAGATTTTTAGGGCTACTTAAGGTTGGAGGCCATCGCTAGTAGGTTGGAGGCCTTTGCTTGTAGGTAGGTGGGCAGAGCAGCCTCTTAAAAATGTACAGTGGACATCAAGACTTGCTTTGAGATTCTGCAAACGAGGCTCAGATTTGGCTGCAGCGCTAGGGCAGGATGCTCCTCAACACCTTGGCAAAGAGGCTATTCTGGCAACTTGTCAAATAAGCTATTCTGGCCAGCTTAGTTCGGGTCATCAAACGGCAAAAAGGCCCAAAGTCAGCCCTGAAGGCAAGGGACATGCCCAGACTCGCAGCAAGACTTCCGCGGTGAAAAGTGTTGCAGTGAGAACCTGACAAAGATCGGCCCTCCATTCCCGTTCGTGTCAGAAGCGCTAGTGAAATGAAGGGCATCAGACGCGCCGGAATTGAATACACAATTCAGCTTTCCACTGGGCCCTCCGACCAAGACCAAGATCCTCAATTCCCAGAAGTCATAATCCAGATTCCAATGGAGGACCATTAGCAAGATCAAGACCTTGAAACTGCACCGACTTCCAGGACTCAGAGAGAAACACTTCCTTGAAGAAGCGCTCGCACTGATTTGGTTTCTAGATTATTCATAGGGAAACTTAAGTAGGAGCCTACTTACTTACGTAAGGGCGACTGGAGTTAGCTTCTAGTAACTGGACACGGTATAGCTCAAGCTAAGAATTTGGTTCCTAGATGTTTCTGGAAACTTTAATAGGGCTTCAAAGCTGATCTCGACCACTTCGATGGTTTTGTGTCCAGCCTGCAGCAAATTCACACCGATCAGCACTGGCAGCAGCCTCAGCCACTTCCCAGAAGCAGCTGCACATATGCATCTAGGTGTTGAAAACATTCCAAGCAAAATGCAAACGACAAAGCCACCAAGCGTCTATTTTTGGAATGCCGGGAGACCACAAGTGAGCATCGGCCAATCGGCAGAAACGAAGAGAGTAAAATCTAAGAAGCTCTTCTTCACCTGGAAACTTGACATTGAACTGAAACTGCACATAACTACCCCCCTTTCTTTAAGACCGGGGGGTAGGCTGCGGATAGAAATAGAAGAGGTAGCTATAGTCTATAGTAGCTATATATTGAGTAGGATGCTACTAGGTAGGACGCGGAATAGCTCACGCGCGCACTAATGATCTGGTTCCTAGATTTTTAGGCAACTGAGGAGTCAAGTCTTGATGTCCATACATTGTTAAAAGGCCTCCACCCTGAAAGCGGCTGCCTCCAACCTAAAAGCGATGGCCTCCAACCTAATAGCCATGGCCTCCAACCTAATGCGGAACCATCGCAGCAAGCTCGTCAAAGTCCCACCTGGGTGTAGAAAGTCATAGACCATCCTCCGTGTTGAGCGATGATAGCGGGAGGGGTCCCAGCTGATCTCCCCAGACTCCTCACAACAAAACGGGAAGGATCTCCACAGTGCAGATGAAATTGTGGAAAAAGATCTCAAAGAAATGACTTTTGTTCCTTTTGTGTATGTTCTTTCTTTAGAACTTCAGACCTTTCTGATTTCTTCCTTTCATGCTCCTTTTTCTCGCTGTTGTTCTTTCTGTCATGTTCATTCATTAGGCATTGAGAAGGTCTCATGACACAACAATCTGTGTCCTGGGTAGAAAGAGGCCGACGTAAATCATCAGTCCCGGCAGACAGTAGCGACATTGACGTTGACATGGCGTTAGATTGATGGTGCGCGCTTGATCGATCTACTCTCTTCAAACTGACCCTTGCGGTTTCACAGTGTTCCCACCATTCGGAGCAAGATCCGCCAGCTTTCTTCTGCATCTTTCGAGTTTCACTTTGACTGGCATTGGATGGTTTTTGTCCACTGTGCATCATAACTCCGAAGATTTTGCCAAACGGCTGCCATCAAGCTCCCTCAGGCACGGCAGGGACTGAACTCTGAGAGATTAGACCAAAAACACTTCAAATGTCCCTTTTTGGAGCTGTTCATTCTCTCGCAGTGTCAGCGCTTCAGCTGAGCTTGTGGTTCCAACCTCTCGGAAGCCCCAAGGCCGTCGAAGAATTGTGTCGAAGACCTCAAATCTCAGCGGCCTTTAAGCATGTGTCCGTCGAAGAGGTTCCGTCGAATTTGTTTCTACAAAGCCTAAGGCCTCTAAGAATAGAGAGGCAAAACAAAAGCTGCTACTCTTCAGTCAAATCCAAATACTATTTATCGAAGTCCGTGTCTTCCTGTCTGAGCAGCATGCGTTGATGGGACGCCCGCAGCCTGGTACCATCCGACATCGCCACAAAAGTTGCGGGCGCTCTTTCTAGTAGTCCGAGTTAGACGTAGCAAACATGCAGGGGTGCATCGACTTCTAAAGAGCCTCTATGGCAGAAGTAGCAAATTACATCAAATTACCAATTACAAGAAAAGATAAGAAAGGAAAGGTGTAAATTTAAAGATAAACAAAGCAAAACAATGCAAAACAAGTGATAAAAGGAAAGCGGGTTTTTGGGAAAAGATTATAACATAGAACAGGGTTCAGGTCTTTGTGTTTGGAGCCGCAGTGCGCACCTTCTTCACAGCGTGAGCGCTTCGTTGAAAGCACCTCGCGCTCGTGTCAACCCCCGGCACTTGAGAAAGGTATCGGAGCACGGTACCACCTTGGGCTCCGGACAGAGTCCTTGTCAACCTCCATCTCACATGGCGAAAGAAACACAGAAGTGGAGGAAAGAAGAGGGAGGTAGAGAGGGAGAGAGAGGGAGAGAGAGAGAGAGAGACGAAGAACGTGTTGAGTCCACTTTTAGCCGCTTACTTGCAGAGTCCATTCCCTGTGAGCCCAGTGGCGAGGGGAAGTACAATGGTGACCTCCAAGACGTAAAAGGTCTTCCTCATACCATTCTCACTACTTCCCCAAATTGTTCTTCATCGTCTTTTTGCTACAAGGCTCGTGGCATCGCTACTAGGAGCAAGGACGCTACTAGGGGCTCCTGGCCTTCCTACTAGGAGCAAGGACGCTACTAGGGGCTTCAAGAATGGTAAATGATGGCTTTCAGACTTTCAGGTATTGGAGCCGCAAATGGTAGCTGATCAAGATCCTGCTGTCGGTACAGCTGCTTTTTGTCGTTGTTCTCTCAGTTCTGATACCCAAGCTTAAGCAAATAGGCTGCAACTCATGCCATTGCAAATTGCAAGACGCCAAGCCTAGAGGAGTGTTGCATTCATGACTTGCTGTCTTGCTGCCTTGAATGTGGTTCTTCATGTCTCGTGGCGCAATCGCTCAACATGCCGAAGTCGCGCACTGCCTACTGTCTCAGCTCACACTTTGGGAGCTGCTAAAATATCGGAAACAAAGTCATGAAACCTCTTTCAAACTGCTTGTTCTGTCCCTAGTGCTTGCTCAAGGGACTAGTGGGATCAAGCATCTGCATGGCTCCAATCCAAACATCCGCGACAAGCTGTCGAGCTGACTTCTCGGAAGCAAGCCCTGCAGATTGTCCGGCCCATGCCATCATACCATCAAGCTTCTCCGTCTTTGCCGCTTGAGTTCTCATCGGTGTGGTGAGTCCACGTTGCACAGGGTAAGGAGCAGGCTCTGGCGCCTCTTCTTGCTGACAAGCCAGCACGTACGCAGTTTTCATACTTCGGCCTGACAACAGGGCGAACATCAGGGATTGCGTATCCTCACTATGGTTGACATTGATGAACATGTTGAAAGCCCTTATGCAGCTTGTGCATCTGTGTGTGTGCGCGTGTCCCAACAAAGAGCTCCCCACAATCCCTCGTCCAGAACTCCCAACCTAGTCGTCCTGAAAAGGCGCGAGTGGCCGCTGTATCTTCAGGTCGGCTTTGTCCCAAAGCATCAGCCCAAACTCGCGATATACCAGCCTTTCGTTTGTCGCTCAAACTCCAAACGCAGTGACCGGTAACGTGCGATGCTGCAGAACATCGCAAGCGTCGGCATGCTCAGACACACAATCACACACGCAAAACACACCACCGTGCAAGTCAAAATTGTCCAATTTTCTTCAAAAAAGAAAGAAAAACTCCGGACAATTCGGCGCCTCCGGACAACGCAAGAGGCCTGTTCCAATCTGCACTGCTGACGCACCCAACACGAAGGCAGCAGCCGCTTGCCGAGCATCTGCGATGCCACCCGTCGCGATCACCGGGACCTTCACGGCATCGACAATCTGCGGCAACAGAGCGAACAAGCCGATCCTGGAGGGTCAAAGGTCTGGACGCAGGATAGCTCACACTTCTTCAAGCAAGGGCTCGCACTATTCATTTCGTTCCTACATTGTAAGGGAAACTTAATGAAACTTAACAAGTGCACCTCGAAGGTCGAAAAAGGTTTGAATTGTTGTATAAGAAGCTACTAGGAACAAGTGCATCGCTACTAGTAACAAGTGCCTTACTAGTAGTAACAATGTTTGCTAGTAGAAACAATAATTTAATTAGATTAGAATGATGCTTTTTTTCTAGGAGCAAGGACGCTACTAGGGGCTCCTGGCCGTAGGGGGGGAGGGTATAGGCCCTGCTATAGAGGTAGCTAGTAGCTACTAGTACGCTACTAACTGCTGGACGCAGGATAGCTCACACTTCTTCCAAGCACTATTCATTTCGCTCCTACACTGTTCAGGGAACCTGAAAAAGTGCACCTTGAAACTTGTCCCAAGTCCCAGGTGCTTTAAAAGGCAGAGCCAAGTCTCAAATCGTTCGCTGTTTCTGGACGAAAGGCACCCCGGTGTCCACCTGCTTCCATCCCTTGGGCGACAATGGCATCAGCTCCAGCAGCCTCTGCTTCAATGGCCTCCGAGACCGTGGTTGCAACGGCAAACCACTTGATCTTCTGCTCCTGCCCATCTCGGGCTTCCCAGAAGCTCTAGACCGGAGATTGATATTTGCGGCCACAACATGCTTCATTGGCTCAAAAGAGAAGCCATTGTAACATGGCTTCTACTTGTGTGCACATGTGCATGACAGCCATATAACTTCAAGCTACCAATCAGTTCTCGCTTATTCGTCGTTGACCCTCAAAACGTGATCACTGGTTGGGTCGGTTGCTCAAGAAGCACTGTTGAAAGGAAACAAAAAAAGACGTGATCCCAATCAATGACCAACTGGAAAGCCGGTGACGATACTCCCTGGGTTCTTGGACTTTTGACGACATTCAGAAGCCGATGTTTGTGATGATTTCCTGCGTCTTCCTGCGTCCTTCATTTTTCTCACCACTTCTTGAGGATAGAGACCCATAATCGAAGAGATCACTGTGGGCTTGGCCTCAATCATGGCTGCCACCTGTGCCTCGAAATCCACCACCTTCGCCTTGGGCGTCGCCAATCGAATCCAACAGCAGATGGAAGTAAGTAGCCGAAAAGAGTCTTGCCAAAAATCCACAAGTGAGATTCAGTGAGATGATAGAGTATATATATATATTGTAGTCTTCTGTTTCATTGTGTGTCGCCAGGTTTCGCCAAGGTCAACAGGAGACCTTCAGAAAAGAAACATCTATTCAAAATGGTGGTGCAAAGTTTTCCCCAGCTTCCTGAAGGCTTGCGACACTCGGAACAACTGCAGCCCTGTGGCATCCCCGGCAGCTTCCGGTACCTCTGGGCCAAAGCGTTGCAGAAAATCTCGCATCTTCCGTTCCTTCTGCGGGTCACGCAGCGCAGGTGGATCCGGGATCCAAGTGTTTAATTGCAAGGGAGCAGTTGGACCGCTCTGTGCGCGGAAGGAGCTGCTCCACTCAGCAATGACCGAAGGAGACATACCGAGGACACCACAAGCAGCCATCCCACCTCACGCAAACTAAGAACTCCTTCGAACAAGTTTCAAATCCCCTCTCCAAACACCTCCACGCATGTCCACCTCCATCAGTGACAGCTGCAGCCAACGCTACTGGTGATGCACCAGCCATGGGTGCCATAAGCACCTCAAGGAGAAAATGAAAAATGCTGGCTAAGAGCTCTTCACAAAAGGTCTTAAATCCATTGAAACTCACAGGTTGCAGCCTGTGAAAATGCAAAATTCACCGACGACACAACAAAAGAGAAAGGGCAACGATATTGACCTTCGTGAAAAGCCAGGCCGCTGGACATCTTAAAGCAAACTGATCACAGAAAGCTTTAGCTTTGGCAAGGCTGCTCATGGCTCAATCGCGTTCGATAACCTCTTGACAAACAGGTTGGAAGAGCCAAATAACTATTGAAAGACATTGCTCTCAGCACGGCCTCCACCCTAGAAGCGATGGCCTCCGCCCTAGAAGTGATGGCCTCCAACCTAATAGCGATCCAACCTAGAAGCGATAGTCTGACAAAACACAGGCACGTGCCGCACGTGAATTCGTGGGAAGAGTTGCAACCTCCGGGCGCACACGAAGAGTTGACCCTCCTCGGAGGTGTAAGTGTGAATCAACGGCACCTGCGTCAAAAACAAATCCGAGGCCTAGGCCAAGAACGAAAGGAATAAAGAATTGAAATATATAAAAAGATCTAAAGGTCTAAAGAAGTCGTTCAAAAAAGGAAAGCAAATACATACTTGTAATATATATTTGCTGTACAAGTATATATGTGAATGAATAAGACATAAAGAACAAGTAGAGTAAGGTGTTGTAGTAAAGAAAGCAAACTTTGGACTCAGTGATGCTCAAGGCCTCATTCTCCAGCTGACGATCCAAGGAGAAAAACAGCAGTCCTATTTTAACATGTGAATCGTTCTATGCTAGAAGAAGACATAGAGAAAAATATATATACATGCTAAAAAATACAGCTGTCAAGATAGACATGTTAAACATGTATAGTATATACACTTCTCTTCCAATTTATGTTGTGCATCTTTCTATGGAAGATGTTCCATATTCTTGCTGGGCCTCGTCCAAAGTACGTCGCTTCTTTGGCGGCCGCTCCTTCAAAAAATCCGGGACCAGAAAGTTCTTAGCTTCAATCCAAATGGTGATGGCCTCCCCCTAAGAGCGATGGCCTCCAACCTAATAGTGATGGCCTCCAAATGGTGCATACACCACGATTCACTTAAGGAACTATTACTCTGATATCGCTCTCTCTCTCTCTCTCTCTCGTAGCGTGCCAGCCTTCATGCCGAGCTTGTTCTAAAAGGCTTTAGCATGTTTTAGCACTTGTGTCTCTGGATGCTCTGTACCAACCCCAGCGCCAAAGCAGTCGTCCCTCATCCACGTCCGATCCGCGTCTCGCACCCGAAATCGCCCCTCCACTCAACTCTCCTCGCCCTCTGCTTGTCGCAGTGCTTCCTCCACGTCGCTCGAGGCCGGTCAATGCCCCATATCATATCACTAAAATATGCTTCCAATATACTTTGATACCAAACATAAAGCAAACCAGTCTCTGTAGGTTGGAGGCCATCGCTAGTAGGTTGGAGGCCAATACAATAAAGCAAGCATATTCCAATCAATTCAAACATCTGCGCGCTATGAGAGTTCAAGAGGGGCTCGCCTTTTTGCAACTGCACAAGCAGACTGAGTCCAAGACCAAACGCCGCTGTGAGCACCACTTTTCACCGCTTCGGGCGCTTCGCCAACATCTTCGCCAACATGTCGTTAGGTTGGAGCTCATCGCTATTGTATTTAACTTAATTCTAATTCTAATTGAATTCTATATAGCTTCTTGTTTCTAATAGCAAACATTGTTACTAGTAGTAAGGCACCTGTTACTACTAGCGATGCACTTGTTACTAGTAGCGTCCTTAAACTTCCCCAAGATTCCAATAGTATGTGCGCTCTGCGCTCTCCTCGAGTCAAGAAGCGAAATACCCTGCGCCGCCTGTCTATCATTATGCAAGTATGCAATTGTCTCAACAGATCCAATCTGTGCATGGCATACATGGATGTATACAATTATTGAAATATATGGAAAACGTGCAGGGATAACAACAGATTGTACTCTATGCGAACTGCCCATTCAAAATGATGGATTGGCGAAGTACCAATATGCACAGCTGGCCAGGAAAGGCGCAACGCCACACCGGGTTGGACAAGGAGCTCGGCGGGTGAAATCATGTTTTGAGCTGTGGCTTGTAGAATAGCTCTTTTTGCAGATTTGTGACTGCACTAGCTGGATGTTAACAATAGTGTTGGCAGTATCTTAGTTCCCCGGTCTGTAATCATGCCTCACATTCAGGAAGCCAGAAGCAGAGCTCCAAGCAGTCTTTCCACGGTATTGGCATAGCTTGGATCTGCTCACACCCATGATAGACATAGTTGGCTTATCAATTGTAGAACTGTACATCAGTGGAAACACAACCACTGACAGTCAGTTTACAGCTTCAACAGGGGAAGGACTTCGGACTTCAAAGGTGCAAGGTGCCAAGGCTTCACCTTCCACAGCTCGCTTCTTGCGGGCTCTGTCGGACCGCGCTCACGGCTGACCGATCTTTCTTTTGAAGGCGAGGCTGCGTGAGGCCGTTCTTTCTTAAGAACGCCACAGTAGAACGCCTTCCTAGGACCTTCTGACCTCCGTCCTTGCTTTCTTTCGTTCGTTCTGCAAAAGGGTTTTTCAAGATCAGAAGCCATCTGTTGCTGCAAGAAGGGTAGCTCGGTCCATTCCCTAGGCCCTAGTAGTTGTCCTGGTGATGGTAGCTCTAGTGCTAGTCGTCGGAGATGTAGCATTCATGGTGTTGTACCAATAAGTATAAGGGGTAGATCGTCCATGCTCCAAGTCTCGTGCCATGGGGCTCCAAGCAGAGGCAATTCTCTCGTGGCTGTGCTGCAAAAAAGTGATATGGCTTGCAGTGTCTGCAGTGTCCGAGGGTCAGCCATAAGCTCTTAGAAACATCTTCTAATGCTATCCAGGACATATGAGTTTGGCACTGTCCTGCATAAGCAACTGCTCTATCGGCAGGGGCTGAGGCGAAACCCGAACATTCGTTTTCGCCCAGCACTGGCGGTCTTGGAGTCCAATTACGAAACCTGCAGCACCTTTAAGGGCAGAACAAAAGCAGCACTTGCTGATTGATGGGGCCTGTAAAGTCGGCGTTGCAGATTAAATTCAGCATATTTCGTGCACTCAGCTCGAATTCACTCCCAAATCTGCTCAAACGACAGCTGGGAGTGCTTTCCATGAGGATCGAGCGTGAATGGCACCACAGAGCGCTCCAAACATCTTCCAGAACCAAAGTTGGCAAGGAAATCTAGTAGCGATGGCCCCAAACCTATTCTTGTTCCTAGGCCTCCAACCTAGTAGCGATGGCCTCCAACCTAGCAGCTTCTTGTTACTAGTACGAGTAGCGATGGCCTCCAACCTAGTAGCTTCTTGTTACTAGTAGCGATGGCCTCCAACCTAGTAGAGATGGCCTCCAACCTAGGAGCTTCTTCTTACTAGTACGAGTAGCGAT